GTTTTGCAAAATGAACAATTTACTTTTTTTCCTGACCACCAGGTGTAGAGCCCATTACTATTGATGATTTGGATGACCCTGCTAGTGATGCTGATTTATTAACACCGGCTTTGGAATGCACTACATCTCCTGAGAAAGCTCTTCATCTTTTTCAAAAGCAAACCATCGTTGCTACACCAAAAGAGCGTATATTCCTATCCAGGTTAGATGGCATACCTGAGATGAAGAGAGAAATAATGGGAATATACAAAAATCCACAGACAAACCTGCATAGAGCTCCCAGAGTACGCTTCGAAGAGGAAGATGGCATTGGCTGTGGACCCGTGAGGGAGTTCTTCAGCAATGTCATTAAGATCATTGAAGAAGGAATATCGTCATCATCATCAAAACCACTTATGTTCCTAGAGGGCGAAACTGATCATCGCCTCCCAATACATGATCAGTCTCTTCGTGCTATTGGGGCTTTTAAGGCTGTTGGAAGGATGATAAGTCACTCTGTCCTGCATGGTGGGCCATTTGTATATGGGTTATCTCCTGYGGTGAAGCAATATCTCTCAACAGAAGCTAATGACAAACAGCTGTCTTTGACACTAGCTATTGAAGACATACCAGACATTGAATTGAGACAACTAATATCAGAAGTAAGTGTCAGCATGTGTAATTTTGACAATCCAGTTTCAACCATTAAAAATGCTATTAGGGCCTTGTCAGAAATTTGCAGGTGGAAAAYAAAACCATATATTGAAACTAGAATGGCAATTCTCAAATTAAAAAAGGACAAAAAGTCACTTGTGGATGTTTTTGTATATTAATGAATTCTGTGCAAAAACTTATTTACAAAGTACTGTGTTAAGCTTTAGGTGCATTTCAGTGACCCTCACAATTAAGCAAAGGATTGATTTTTCTAATCAAGGAATTTTTCGTGACCTTCCTTTTTGGTGGTCTATTAAATTTAGTGACCCTCCCCTTTTTGGGTCTTAAAACTTGATGACTCTCCCCCTGTTTCCGCCCCCTGCAAATTGCTGACAAGTCCCTTACTTTGATTTTTTTTAAAAACGGACTTGGATATCTGACATACACATGTAGATGATAATTATTTCAGTCAATTGTCATATGAGCACAGTTGGGCAATCACTTTGCAGGCAAAATGCCATGAAAAATGGTATCACGTGGCTACACCTTGAAAATGTTTTTTTAAATTCTTAAAATACCTAAGCACATTGTATTTGTATGCTACATGTCTATTTTCCCATCTATTCAAGCTTGATGAACTGCTTTTGGACCAGAATGTAAGTCCAGAGCAAAGACTTGCCATTCAGCCTTACTTGTTTGAGGCTGGTTTAGACCCAGATGAATTAAACCAGAACAGGAAGTTCCTACTGGATGGTCTGATGACCTACAATGTCATAGACAAGAGACGCCTTGAGCTAGATGACATCATAAAAGGCAAGTCGAGTGTAGGGTAGTAACTTATAAATCATAAACACACAGTCTGGGGTACACAAAGATGTGAGTGTATCGTTCATATTATCAACTGAGAAGTCTTTTTATACTCCTGCGAAACAAATAATTGTATCCCATGAAACTTTTTTTGGCTGTCAATAGACCTTTTTCATACCACATGGGAGAATGGGCACTGAAGGTATGAGATACATTATCTTAAATAAGAAAGCCTTGCATATCCATCTTTTTTCCCTTGATAAATGCTTCTAAGCAGTATGGTTGGCCATTTGTTGCAAAATTCAACAATTCATAGATTTATATTATGTTATAACATAATATATTTGCATTCAACTACGCATTTTTGTTGAACTTCAACCTTTACTTTTTACATTTAACATCCATATTATTTATTCAAATTCTCTAATACCTCCAGTGTCTATTCCTCCACGTGGTACTAAAAAGGTCTATTGATCTTACCCAGCACAAATGTAATTTTAACATGTTATATAATAAATTCAATACAGTTTATACATTTACAAGTTGTTGTTCATTGATATTTGTACAGGAATGAATGAGGTTTCACTGCMCCGTTTCTTAACAAGATTCCCTACTTTGGCTACCCTGATATTCCCTTCAGAATGCGAAAGAGTTATTTATGGTTCTGACATTAAAGCAGTAATTACTAATGAGGAGAAAGATTTAAATGAGTGTAATAAAAGGGCTGCATTATGGTTCAATGATTACATTGATGACATTGAAACAAATTCAGAAGGTAGGAAGTGCTTAATCATAACAACAGAGTATAACACTAGACAGTGGTTAAATTCTTTATTTACTTATTTATTAGATGGCGCTAAGCTAGTAGACCTGGTATGTTTCTGGACTGCAGGTGGCTTGCAAGTTTCAAATGGACAGCTGTTGGTCAAGTTTGATGGTGGAGCAAACAACCTTCCATTGTCAGAAACCTGCTTTAAATCTATCATACTTCCRACAAAACATGAAGAATATTCTTCTTTCAAAAAAAACATGGACATTGCTTTGAAATATGGGTCCAAGGGCTTCAGTTTTCACTGATGGCATGACAATAAAATTGGTATAAGGATTTTCTGTTGCCAAGTTGTCAGCAAAAGTGGTCTTGTGCATGATGCATATATATCTGTTGTTAAAGTTTATATACGTTTTACAGTATTTTTTAATACATTTGTAATTGATTTTTGTAATTACAGGTGGAAAAATTTTACATTTCCAAGCTAACAATTATGGTTTGAGTGTTAAGATTTATTGTTTCAGTTACAGATCTAGATATATCACAGTTTTTGCAAYGAGACACAATGTCACCAATAWATACACCAAATTGCAAGAATGTTGCCATACAAAAATAAAAAAATTGCAATTTTGATGCAACTATTTTTTAAAACTGTTTTCAAGCTATGGACTTTGTTTTTAAATAACTAAGCAGTTTCTATTGTACTTATGGGGATTTAGATTAAAACATTCTTGCAATGTCAGGTGTATGACAAGGACATGTACTATATATATTATGTCAGTGTAAAGGACTGCGGTTGTCCCATGGTGCAATTATGTGTAAAACTAGAAACTGCTTAAAAGATCATTGAATTCTTAGATGATGAATATATATACATACTTACATACTTTATTTACAGTGGAAAATACACTTGGCTAGTTACCTAACCTGTGAAATACAAATTACTTCTGTTGTTGTGTAATAGTCAACTTCAAATAGTCAAAACAAAGGAAATAAACTTGAAAATGTAAATGGACTTGCAAAGAACAAACCATAGAATTATACATATGTCACCTCTGTCAAAAATGATCGAATTTTTTTGGTGAATTAATGCAAAGAAAAAATTTTTTATATGTAATACATATGATTCTAGCTAAGATTTCCCATGGTCAATGTTACTCAAAATACAAGTAGGTCTATATAATTCACTATGGRAATATTTCACCATTTCCTATTGCAATATTTTGAGGTTTAAGTGTCAGCAATCAGAAGGATCTTGATTTGGGTAAAGGCATCTACTCCTGCAAGATAATTCATGTTGTATGTGTTTGGCAATACATTAATTTGATCTTCRGTGAAAGGGCAGTTTGTATCAGGAACYTCAACGGAATCAGGATGTTGCTCAGGAATTGGTCCTTGCCAGTCTATGCCATAATTGCAAGGGTCTTCCTGTAAAACAAAGAAATGATGAATTGCTATCATCCCCAAGATAGTCAGTAGCACCACCACCATGGTGATGATGAGCTAACATGCAATCAAAGAATAAAGAAAAAAAATAGAAAGAGGAAATGAGAACAGGAAAAAAAAAAGGTGACTGTGTAATAATCCCTTTTCCTCTCGTGCACAAGATTTGTTCATTATATCACAATATTTCCCAAATAATTAACTGGGGAAAAAATTAATTTATTCAATAATTTTACTTTTCAAATATCTTCTAGTGTAATTCTAATGCTTGACAACAATAGCTGTTAACTCCCTATGAAGGTTTGTTCATTTGGTCATGGAAGTAGGAATTACATTATTGTTTTAGAAATGATAATCCCCTGCATTATAGAGGTCAGAGAAGATTATGACTAGTGACATTGTTGACAAAACACATTGATGACATTCCAATACCTGAAAAATTTCATTGTCGAAAGCTTGTAAACCACATGCTTCATGTAGTCCTCTAATCCATAGCTGCATGGGAGATTTGCTTTTCTCTGTTCTTAGTGGATGATGAATCCAGGCATTTTTCCAATTAATCAAGTGCCTATTAATGATAGGCAAGAACACATAATGCAGGCACCATAAATGAGATTCATCATCAGGATTTAATRTACCCTGACCTTCCAAAGAATGAAAGAGATTGTAGAAAAGACTAAGGCAACCACTAAACACATCTCTCCAAAGCCTTTCAATCCTCTGATTGTGAGTACTCTTCCCTAATTACAGAAAAGAAGGAAAATTCATATTTTTCACCTTTACTGTAATACTATACTATACTGTAGTACTATTCTGTACCTGTAATCATACTTCCCCTGCCAGTTCCTCGTCGACTTAGCATATATGCTGAAACATCCACATTTTCACCACCCTTATCAGCACGAACACGAGATGGGAGACCATATTCAGACACAGCTTCACGAAAAAGTGATAGAACAGTGCTTGCTTTGTTGTTGTTTGATGCCTTCAGAAAGACTGGGATTCTCGAGTATCCGTCAATCCCACCATGCACAACTATTCTCCACCTTTTTTATTTATAGAACAATAAAACTCTATTTAAGACTCTAAATCATTTAGTTACATAAAGTGATTAATAGTTATTACTATTAAGTTAAATGCCATTTTATGTCACCAAAATATTTAGAGTCTTAAAGGGTATTAATGGAAAAAAAGGAAGGTCACAAGTGATTTGGGAAATGTTGTCTTTGAAAACATTTTTATTAACTGATCAGCTTGTGATTCCCATCTATGTGCCATAGTGCTAAGGGATACTTCACTCTATAATGACGCCTGTGCACAGTATTTCGCCACCTCTGAACCAAGCCAATGGGATCTGTACGCAATAAGGAGGACCTTATTCGTTCACGCTGAATACGGTGAYCCTTGCTTTGCAGATAGCTTTTCACCATTCTAATTCCTACACCGGGATGTTCATTTAGAATACCTACAACAAGTTGATCCAACTGGCCATCATCTATATGACTGTACATAGCTGTATAGAAAACAATCAGAAAAAATTAATAATTGTTCAATGCTCATTATTCAAAGTATGAGTAACAATTTAACTGGGTGGAATTAGGTCAGTTTATATAAAATATGAATATATATTTCTTATAAAAGTGACTGACTAGAGAACAAATTAAACAAGCAACATTGCCAATCACAATGGCCTACATAAAATAATATTGAATATTATAATCATTATTACTATTATTATTACAAATGCTATCATAATGTATTAAATATTTTACTAAAAACTTATCGACATGCTATATTTGATTAAGAAAGTAAATATGCATAATTTTGCATATTAAAGGCTAAAAGGTGTCTGTTAAGAGTAAAACTTTAGGAAGTTTTTATCAGAAATACTAAATAATTAATTGTCATTAATTATTCACATAATATACAAGCTTAATTGTTAAATGCTGTACCTTTCACACTAAGTCCAAAGTGTGACATCCTCCTTTTGACAGTCCTGACACTCACACCAAGGATATTGCTTATATCACTTAATGGAAAATTTTGTTCCAATAGAAATGAAATCTCTTCCTCATTTATTTCATACGATGGTCGTCCACGCCACCCATTCTTATTTAACGGAGCTTTATAACTAGCACATTGAACTTGGTTCTTCTTTTCTATGTCGGACAACATTTTGAAGGCAGCTCCTACCATCTCAGTCACAGAATCGTCAATATCAAGACCTACTACCATTCTTTGTAGGTAGTCTAACTTGGAAACCACTGGTTGGAAGTCTGTCGAGACATCTCCTGAATCTCTCAATCTGTCCAAAGCATTGATAACGCTATGAACGGCTTCAATCAAATACGTTATGCTTTTCCTCCCTTTTATGGCTTGCAATCTCCTTGGGTACCTTACATGCGGTTGAAGTTCTTACCCATGGAAGACCAAGTTCGGAACGATGAAATGGGCATATAGTCAAAATTTTCTCGTCGTTTGGTTTTATATAAATCAACCCGGACCTGACAAGTATAAGCTCTTTTTCTGTTTCAACCCCTGTAAATGCTAAATACGACTTGTGCGCTGTAATATCTTTGGTGCACGATAATAAGGATATGATTTCAGTCGATTGACTTTTACCTCTTCGGTTATAAGAGCAAGAAGTACCAACAATTGAATAAAACGAGCACGAAACTTCCATGTTTACTCAAAATTACATCTGATCTGATGTCTGAAAATTGTTTCGCTAAGTAATTTACAACTGTAAAACCCGAGAGCATAGTAACGTTAGTTACTACTATAGATGCCGGTTTCTTTTAACCCTCCCATAACCATAATTGTATTGGACGTATCAAGTACCAAAATTAGACTTATCACAGTGCCAAAACAAAACTCTTCTTTAACTTTGAATTCGCTTGAAGGAATGACTTTAAGAATTTTTTTTAGTTGTGAACCTAGTAATACTATATATGCCCGAGGTACACGAAGGAATCATAGACCAAATGAAACACACATGGTCAGTGAATCGATAGTCACATTTCAGGGAACATTTCTCCTTTCCTAACATCATAAGTAGGCCGTGATTAGTAGATGTTGATGTTTATTGTACATTTTGATTTTTATTGTACATTTTGTAGGCACAAGGTTATGCACAATGCACATGTCGATGACCTTAGGTCACCTAAGGTCCACCTAACGTGGGAGTGTCAATAGCTACTACTTTGCCAATCCTCTTGCCTCGGTGAAGAATAATGTCTCTATGTTGTGTGTTTCTAACATAAATCCAAAACCATTGTTTGCTAGTAGACACAACACAGTCTATAATCTCTAGTCCCATTTCATAAAGACACACCGTACCTTGTATT